ATATATATACAGTATGTCCCATAAAAAATGGGACATCGTTATGCTACATATTTTCTGTCACACGAGAAATATGACAATAAGGTTAAGGTTGTTTAATTAATTATTAAATTTTCCAGGTAATGGCTTCTTGAAAAGCAATTATTGTTACCCGTATCTACATTTATAAGCATACAACAGTGAGTCAAATCTAACGATGCAACTAATGCACATTCACTGTCAAAATTATTATCAGCTGACTATTAAATAACGTCAGAACGCTGAAAAACACATGCGTGAAATGAATACTATTATTGAAAGAACAGAATTTAATAGTGACTATAAAAAATATGAAAGGTATTAAGGAACTTAATTATAATTTTCTGCCATCGTTTAATTTTAGGGCAAGAAATTTACTAAAATCTGGTAATGACGTGGAATTAACGATACATAAGATTCCATTTCGTTTCTATGGAGACTCTTTTAACATTTTTATATAGAAAAACTCACTGGAAACACGTGCGTAATTGCATATGATACTTCTTATACTTTAACAGTCCATGCATTTATTAATTTTAGCTCATAGGGGTCATGTTATTAATGGATCGTGTCAATTATTGAAAAAACATAAAGATATCACTTACACGGGTGAAGACACAAGGTGTTTAATATTTTAACGTTCAAACTACTACACTGAAAGAAAAAATTAAACCAAATTTAAATGTAATTCGCGACGATAAGCCAATACACGAGCGGTATCCCACTTTTTACGAGACATCCTGTATAACATAATGGGACACTTGAATATTAAATACAGTCCTTGAAGATCTAGAAGTGATCCGTCGTCTTCGTGTTACCTCTACCAAATTGAACTAAATTGTACTAATTGATCAAAAGTTTGAATAAAAGGCTTAAATATTTCCTAAAAAAAAAATTGCTTATGATAAAAAACAACTAACATTTCGCGTTATACATTAACGAAAGAACCGTTTATCACAATAAAAAAAGTCTAACTGTTAGTCACAATTGCCTACTTACATAAAAAATTGGTCGATGGTTATTTCGGCAAAACCTCCTTCGCCCCTAAAGTACAGTCGAACACAAACAGTTTTGAAAAATTATGAAATTTAACTTTGAGAATTTTATTTTTTTAGATGACCCCTACGAGCTAAAATGAATAAATGTGTGAATTGTTAAAGTGGAGGTAAAGAAGTATCGTATGCATATTTCCAGTGAGTTTTTCTCTATAAAAATTTTTGATAACGTCATCAATATTTTAACAAGGACACGTGTGGTCACCTACACGTTACTCCTGCTATACATACAAAATTTCAGAAAAATAGGTCGGGTAGCTTTAGAGATTACCTGTCTAACAAAAATCTATACAGTAGGACAGACGGCAGACGGCAGACGAAGGACAGCAAACTGACATGGAAATGAGAAACCCATTTTTTTGTACTCTATGAACTTAATTAGAATACTTCCTTAGCTTACGCATTTTTTTTAAGTTAAAATAAAGATATGTCTAGATTATTAAAGTAAAAAGTGCAGATGAAGACTAATTAATTAATTAATTAAGCCACAAATTCGATGTGTAACTATTATTGTGAGAATTTTATTATTATTTAATATAGTCGACCTCGACGTTACTGTATCTATCATTGTCGGGGTGAACCATTCTTAATCTGATCAATAAAAAAAAATCTACCCGTGGGTCGAACTTTATATTTATTATATAGCTGAAGTACAAGAAAAACTAAACAATAAAGATAAATTAATAATAATAACCAAAGATAAAATGGATATTTTATAAAATTTAAATATATACATATACTTTAGTGCGCAAAATGTTGAGCTGACGTGATTAAATTTTGCTGAGAAAGATTAGACAAATTTTATTTAGCGTTTGCAATCTACATGATATTCTTCATATACATACAAAATTTGGCAACAATCGGTTTGGTAGTTTCGGATATTATCTGTTCAATAAAAATCAACCAAAACGACAGACAGACCGACAAAAACGGGGGCCTATTCTTTCATACACTAACAAAAGGGCAATAGAATGTCGAGAAAACATGAAAGCAGACATTCGCCGGATGGATCCTATTAACTCACGCTCTGGAAGTATAAAACAGAGTTCCTTCCATAAACCACGGTTTCAGTACTTTAAAACAAGCATCCTTAACTACACAATCAAAATATTAACCCTAACCATCGACAACTTTGTGTGTAAGGAATATAAGGAATTTATAAGATTCCAGTCCTCACTTGAAGAAAATAAATAAGGAATAGTACTCAAATTTCTCGTTAAAATTATTCCACTTATGCCTGCAGAAACTAAAAGTGAAAACAAGCAGTGCAGCTGACACAAAGCTCCCAAATATTTTCTTTCAATTTCGTATTAAACCAAAAAAAAACTATAAAACATGCATCCGACTTTCCAATGTTCTTTTACATCTCCATACAATATCAGCAGGACACCGACGCACTTTTACATATTGTATAACACAATTTATATACCAGAATAAAATTTATGGTGACATATAACAAGTACCCTTGTTGAATTATTGTCGAATATTGGAAATTCTTATTAAACGTGCGATTATCGCTGATTGCACGGCTTCCACTTTATAATTCCGGTATATCAAAACATGTAATTATTGTTCACGTCTGTTACCTTATGCAAATTTCACGCAAATAGACTGCCGCGCCGCTATTATTTGGTTTACAAATACACCTCATTATTCAGAATATTAGTGCAACCGCTTTGAGCCTCAAATGTGAACCAAAAATTGCAACGACCGTGTTATTATTCCACAAAATGAATGTGAAAACCGAAACGTTTATTCTTATATAGCAAAGACTTATAGCAAAGCCGTCACGCATGGTAGGTTTTGCCATTCGTGCCCGTACCATTAACGCAAAACAAAAATTTCCAAGACCCATTAAAATCAGGCCAGCTGCCAGACTACCCAGTTAGGTAATTTTGCTCTACTCCGGATTCCATTTGAATAACGTACGACTTTCTCGACATCCTTTGTCGATTGTGGACGTTTGACGTTTGGTTTGGTCATTTCAAAATTTTATTCTCGGTCAGTTTATCTGCACAGAACCCAAGTTTATCGAACCGTAGTGTTTCGCATTTCCTGCTGTAAGCAGGAGTTTATCGGACAGTTAAAAATAAGAGCGATCGGAGGCTTAATCACACTGCATTGATTTTACCTTCGAGCATATTCTGTGCAATACTTTGAATATTTTTTCTTACGCAACCATTATTATTTCAGAACTGGGGCACTTACAACGTACAATGGAAGCGGAAGTTACAGTTTTACAAAAAATAACAAGGCACGACATGTTCTTTGCGACAATTAAGCAACTGGACGTGCTCGAGTGTGGTTTTCACATAATTAGAAATTACGAGCAATTCTTAATTAAGCGTTTTTTCTGAAAAAATTTCCGGACGCTACCGTTACAGAAAATATGATAAGGAAACCCAGATTTCTTCGCGGTACTTTCTATTGAAAATGTGCATATCACTTGATCAATTAACCAACAAAAATGATTTACGTTCAGAGCAGCAGTACGCAGATGGCAACATTCTATCGAAACCATAACTGTGGGAACTATTTTCATTAATCTTATTTTCCGTGATTATCATAATTGCCTCTCTTAAGGATTGCATTGCGGACTTAGTTTACGTAAAACTGCCTCTATCACTGCACCACTTTCTTTGCTTCAATTAACACTTTAATTATCGCAAATTGTTGGTCAGTGCCGAAGCACCGCTAAGGAAGAGGCGTGTGTGAGACTTCCTAAACGATCATAATTTACAATCTGAACGGGTTAGTACCGGTGGAGTCCTCTATGGAGTCGAGACGAAACTCGTTCTTTTCCTGGTTAACATACATTCATTAGAGCAATCGCGAGAGATCTCGGTTAAAAAACTTGGATCAATTATTTGCGCTAATATTTTTTAAAAGTTTCCTTCCAATTCGCTCATCAGATAACAATGCAATTAAACTTAACAGACGGGCACGTTTCCTCACTTTAGACTAATTACGACCAAATTGATTATGAAAGTATGCCAAAATTAGGGTGAGAGACCTCTTTCATTGCCCGCCACTAATTTTTTGGTTTAATTGCTAATTATTGATTTCGTACTGTTTTACGTCTTTGTTAGAGAATGATGAAAGTATCCGATTCTTTGTTCGATAATTGCACTGTCGATATAGTTCGTGTATCCTAAGTGGCCGCTATTGTATGATGACTTTCAAATTTCCATTCATAATTTATTGTTTTTTTCTTTGTTGTCGGAAACTTCGGATATGTGAAAAAATCTTTGTGGTTTTTACTTTATGAGATGCTTTACGCAATAGCTTTAAGTTACTCTAATATTTTGTAAAGTAAAACCGAATATAAGAAAGCACAGTTCGTGAATAATCATGCAAAACTGGTAACCTTAGGTCCTTGTCCTATTTCTAAAGCGCTAATTAAATAGCCGAATGAGGTATTGTAATATTTTTTACATACGAATGGGATCAAAGCTCTGGGAATAAAATCGTGAATCGAAGAGCAACCTTCTGATTTAATTATTAGGATAAAATTAACTTACGTAAGATTTGTTTATTAAATTATACTTAATTAAAATTAATAATACAAGTCTACATGAACTCAATTTCAAATTCATTGTTACGTTTCGAGAATAATGGCAAATTTCTCAAAAATTACATAGGAAGTCTGTTTTTATTAAGTGTTATTTTTAAATTGTTCGGAATGTTGCATGCCGGTGTAGGTCCACGTTTAATCTCTTTAGCGATTCTTCTGAATGATTTTCTTATGGTTTATGAGCAATTTGTGAAGCATGCGTCTGTTATTAAATAGTTCGCTGCTTCTGCGGCACTTAACCAAGAGTATTATGGCATTGCATGCTCAGCGATGCGTCCAGAGTTGTGAATGTATGGGTAGTATGGGTATATCGTCGCAGATTCACCCAGTGAAAGTACGTCTCGTTGTGGGTACATTGGGGAGGAACCCTTTCCACTCGTATCCATATATAAAGCCACCTCTCTAAGGGTAAGGCATCACTTGTCAGTTTCTTCTTCTACACACAACATGAAGCCTCTTGTGGTAAGTTCGCGGTACTCGCCAAAAACCGCTAATAACAATCCCTAAAAAACAGGTAGCTTCATTGCTCTTAGCAGTCGCCAGCATTGCCCAATGCGGTGAGGCTAAAGTGGATGAAAAGAAAACTGAGAAGCGTGGCATCTTCAGCAGCAGCATCGGCAGCGGTTTCGGGGGTGGCCACGGAGGTGGCATCAGCGGCGGTAGCATCGGGGGCGGCAGCTTAGGAGGACATGGAGGCGGACTCGGCGGCGGGCTCGGCGGTGGCTACAGCGGTGGCTACAGCGGTGGCTACAGCGGCGGCTACAGCGGAGGCTCCGGCGGAGGCTACGGCGGAGGACTCGGTGGAGGACTCGGCGGCGGCCTCGGAGGTGGATTTGGCGGCGGCCTTGGCGGCGGCTTCGGCGGCGGCTTAGGAGGTGGATTCGGAGGCGGAGCCGGAGGCGGCGGTGGCGGCGGTGGTGCTACCGTCAGCACTGTCACACAAACCGTCGGAGTTCCGGTTGCTCAACCCGTCCCCGTTACTGTCACCCGCCCTGTACCAGTCCCAGTGCCACAACCCGTTCCCGTGGAAGTACCTCGCCCCGTTCCCGTTCAAGTGCCCGTTGCCAGACCCGTCGTCGTTCCCAGACCAGTTCCCGTTACTGTAACTCGCCCAGTTCCTGTCACTATCCCAGTACGCGTACCAGTACCAGTGCCCCAGGCTGTTCCCGTCGAAGTTCCTCAACCAGTTCCTGTCACCGTTGCTCAACCTGTACCAGTTAGAGTACCTCAAACCATCGTAGTACCTGTTCCCGTCGCTGTCGGAGGAGGCGGCGGTGGCGCCGGTGGTGGAGCCGGTGGCTTCGGAGGTGGAATCGGAGGTGGTTTCGGAGGCGGAATCGGCGGCGGCATCGGAGGTGGATACGGCGGCGGCATCGGAGGTGGATACGGCGGCGGTATCGGAGGTGGATTAGGAGGTGGTCATGGTGGTTCCATCAGCCTTGGAAGCAGCTACGGTGGCGGATATGGAGGTGGATTAGGAGGTGGTCATGGTGGTTCCATCAGCCTTGGAAGCAGCTACGGTGGCGGATATGGAGGTGGATTAGGAGGTGGTCATGGTGGTTCCATCAGCCTTGGAAGCAGCTACGGCGGCGGATATGGAGGCGGATTGGGAGGTGGCCATGGCAGTTCCATCAGCCTTGGAAGCGGCGGATATGGAGGTGGACTTGGAGGTGGCCATTCGATCTCTTTGGGATCTGGAAGTTTAGGAGGTGGATCTTCGGGAGGACATGGTGGTGCCACAAGCTATTCCAGTATTTCTATTGGAGGAGGCAAATACTAAGCAAAGACTTAAACTCACCTCATTTCATCATCTTTCAAATTTCATGTCGAATCATCTTATTGTGATACCATAAGTATTTTTGTTGTTTTTGATGGTATTGCCATCTGTGTATATATTTTACGTGCACTTACAATAAAGTTCTATTTTACTACAACTGTCTTACGTCAATAAACTAAATCACATTGTGATTAAAAAGATGGATAATAATGTGAATAAAATAGTTGCTGTAAAAATTAACCCAAGTATTATAACTTATTTTTAAGAGTACCTATAGCACAAAACTGTTTAACTTGCATTACCCATATTAGAAGTGGGTAATTAAGTGTCGATAAAAAGTTATTAACAAAATTTCCAATTCTGCAAAAAAAATTCTGAGGCAGACAGTAATCTAATATCAAAAGACGAAGAAATACTCTCGCATTTAACTTTTAATTAAACGTTTTTGTCATAACACATATTCGTAAAATTTTGAAATTAACTATCGTTACTCTCGATTGAACGTTACTGTACTTGTTTTATAAATTTCGAACGGTTAACAAATAGTCTGAGCAAATACACAAATTAGTGTTATTCCATGTTTACAGTTCTAAAAAATTGACAATATTATTACAGATTTTTTTTAGAATTGATCGTATATTCTTTCTTAAATAGGTAACTAAAAAAATTGCAAGAATGTTCTCAAGTACTGTCAGAAAAACTGAATACTGTTAAACTAATTAAACAATACTTACATACCAAGACATTTTTTAACTCTGAACATTATGAAAGTAAGTATTGGCTGAATCCCTGTGTTCTATTTTAAAAAACACACATCATGCCTTGGAAGTATGCGACCAATGTTTCGTCCAAAATTCTTACTTGATTTTGTAGGACAAGAAATTCCAAAGTAGTTAGAACGAAGTTAGTGAAAACATTGTTTTTTTTGCGTAGCATAAGATATTTAACTTCTTTTTACTTCCTGACCGTAAGCTAGGGAATGACCTCTAGAGTGCGAAACAAGTAGTTTCCGTCTGTCTGTCTATCTGTATGTCTGTCTGTCTGTCTGGCGTCTGTATTCATTTGTATTAGACATACAAACTACTACTGAATCGATTGTTGTCAAATTTTGTATGTACGTATATTGGGAATATCATGCAGATGGTTAACCGCTAAACCGCTAACCAAATTTAGTTAACCATCGTCACCAAAAATTTGATGACGTCATTTCAAAGAATTCTCTTTGAGTTCCGATTTGAGTTTTTTCCCTAAAAGACCAAATGTTCACAAAAAAATAACAGTAAAATAGAATGTCACAACTAACTCATTATATAAGCGGCATGCGGACCAGAAGTTGCAAGTTCTATCTACATATGTATGTTTACGACTTCATAATAATTTTTTTGTTAATCAAATTAAGAACGAGTCACCCCATTTTCTCGAAAAGGTGAGAATGCGCAAGTCTGTATTTAATAAGAATTATACTAATAATAATATCCAGAACATTCTGTTCGACTGTTGCTTAGTTAATAACTTTAGTTCTGTTTTGAGGTGACAAACTCAGTCAAATCAAATAAATTTCTACGTGAGGCATACTTCCCACATATAAACAAACACTTCAAGCTAAAACTTATTATTGGTGAAAGGCCATTTTTCCCGTTGGTTATCTGTTTTAAATATACTTATGTTGTCCGTACTTGTGCAATTTGCGCAATCCCTTGCAATTTGCGTCCCTACGGCACAAGGGCTCCGGGGATGTTATTTATGCCGAGGGTTTTTACTGTATAAAGTTTATCACTAAACAAAAAATAATAAAACTGTTGTCCTTCTTCTAATTTTATAGGTAATGCATATGAACCTAATAAGCACAAGGTTCTTTTTTTAATTTTATTAGAAATAAATTATCAAATTTCTAGGCATATGTATGTGATTCTGTGTGTAATGTAAAATTATTAGTGAGTCTAAAGACAAAAAAGTTAATAATGTTTCAAAATATTATTTTGAAAAGTTTTACAACCAAAGAAAAAATTGGTCGAAGATTATTTCAACAGAACTTTCCTCGCCCATAAACTTCAGTACAATGAATCTAGCTTTTTTGTTGCTTCGACTTCCCCTCATTAAATAAAACACTGCATTTTATTTCGATTTTCGATATTTTAATTCACATTTGGTTAATTATAATTTGTCTAGGTTTAGGGGAAGCAAAATTTCTCTAGGGAAGGCTCATTATCCCCTGGGTTAGAGGGATAAAATAAATTTAGTATAAAATTAATCATTCTCTAATTTTTTATTGCTCAAATTAAGGACGAGTCACCTCATTTTCCCGACAATTAAGAATACGCACGTCTCTATTTAATAGTGACAAAGTAAGAATTATAATAATAATATTCAGAACATTTTGTGCGATTGTATAGTTTAATTAATAATTTTAATCATCTGTTTTGAGGCGACAAACTAATTCAAATTGAACTAAATTGTACGTGACATTCTTCCGATGTACAAACCGATGTACAATGTGCAAAATTTGACAGCAATTGATTCAGTAGTTTCGGAGATCTGTATAATAAAAATCCGCACAGACGGCAGACAAACAGACAAACAGAGAGAGGGAGAGAGCGCAAAACGGACAGCCAGACAGAAACGGGAGACCAATTTCTTCATACTCTAGAGGTCATTAAAGGTCGAGGAAACATAAGAGGAGGGAGTCGGTCAATGAACTCGATTCCAATACTTCCTTAGTTTACGCACGGGAAGTAAAAATAATTTTATATGAAAATCTCTATGAAATCTAAATCCCTTGCTGGCAGCTACCTAAACCATCAACCTGATAAAATCATAATACCTACGAATAAATAACTTCTAAAATGAATAAGCAACAACTTTACTAGTTTTAATCATCTTTAGGATGTTACTCGCCTTACAATAATCATGAAATTGTTTGGATTCAACAGCTATCTTCTAAATTCTTAAATGACCCCATATATGTATACTTGTGTCGTCTGCAAAGCCTACTATTTCACTATTTAACAGAATAAATAAAATAGTGACCCTTGAAGAACCTATACTTTTATAGATCTGTTTCTTGATGTACAGCTTCCATTAGTTACGGTTTATGGGCGATTTTTAAGATATGACCAAGAATAATCCAAGAATGCGCGACTCCTCTTACTCCCATTCCCCAAATTTTCTCTAATAGCAGAATATGATCAACCGGATCAAACGCACCATTTAAATCAAACATAAGTGTGTAACAATCACATTCCTCCCATAAAGTGTGTCATAAAAAAAATCACAGGAAGTCCAGTAGGTACAGGTCGTTTTATTTTTCGTGAATCCATTTTAATGACATATTTCATAAAAAAAACTGCTTTTCGAAAAATGTCAATCTTCCTAAAAAAGCTGCCTCTAGAATTTTACCAATCTAACTTAGTATACATACGTTTTAGTCTATAATCTGATTGATTGTATTTAGAACCCATTATTTTGGTGTATCCCAAGAACATTTCAAGCTGTTGGGAAAAACTCCTTTCTCAAACTTCACTTATGAAGAGACATAACAGTTCAGCCAAAACAGTAGCTACGCGGCCAACAATATTATCAGTTGCAGGAATGGACTTTTTTTGTGGTCTTTAAGATTAATGATGTTATCTCAGTAGGTGTAGAGGGCTGTAAGAAAGTTGTTTTTTTTTCACTATTCAGACCATTCACTACAGTACCTCTAACTACTATAAACATGTAAAAAAAATCTGAGAAACATTCCCATATTTCTTTAGCGTCATTATACAATATACTCTTGAGTCGCTGTCAACTATCTTCGTTTTTTATTCTCTACAGTCATTTACTATTGGTCAACTTTCTTTCATTTTATTGTCTACACCCAATATCGTCATCTACATTAATTGAATACTGCGAAATTAGTTGCCTATAAGTGGATGCTAAGAACCTGTTGTGATAATAATCATGATTTATTTACTTATCTATAGCTGACATTTTACAAAGTAATTTATGGATATCTTTTATATATCGGGGTAAATTAAAATTTCTCTTCTTAATAATCTCAATTCTAGTGACAGGAAATGCTAAGTCATATTAATACCAGACAGTTTGTTAAAATAAATCAATGTTATCCCAAAAATGATTCCCAGTATTTCCCAACCTACAGTGTACATAAACACCCATAAAATAGCCTAACATTACTTGGACTTATAATTGTCCTACTAGAGACATAATAAGGTTCAGACAAAACAGTATTATCAACTAATGTATTCGCAACATCGAGTCAGAAAAAATATTGTTAGTACAGATCTGACAATTTTAGATATCAGAGCTGGAAGAGGTCTACAAAAATCTGCTAATACTTGTCATTATATTATTATTTGTTAACATCTCCACTTATTATATCTGAAATAATTGAATATAAATGAAATAATTCATCAAATTGGCAAAAATATTAGATATATTAGTTCTAAGAAAAATATAAAATCAACAATATTTTTTGTTTTTGTAACCAGTCATAAAAAGTAAAACTATTTCATTCAAATACATAGTAAGACCTTACTTCACAACATATTTATTTTTAACAAATTATTATTGCTTACTTAATGTTTTTTTCAGATGTTGTCATCAGTTGTTTGGAAAAAAGACAAAAATAAAATTTTGTCACTGTTCTGAAATCACCGTTGCAATATGATTTAGTGTGATATCAAAAATATATACAAATCCAGTAGCAGTAACTCCTTTATTCGGACATAAAGAGGAAAAAATAAATGTAATATCTTGCATAAACTGAATCATTAGATGGAAGTATGTGATGAATATGTGTAATTTTATATTTTAATTATAATTTTTAGAAATTTTGTATTACTTTAGTTTGTGTTTGTTTGTCATTAATAAACATGAAACCAGTTTTACTATTAATAAGAAAAATCAAACCCTGTGCTAGAGAGTACGCACTAAATTTATAAATTGTGTACCTAACTAATTTTTCTTTTTACTTTTTAAGAAATTATTTATACCATCTTCTGAAAAACTATTAGTTCCTGCTATTAATTTAATTTTGTTTCATATGTTTTCAAAGCTATTTTCAGAGAACAGTACTGTCAATATAATCTGTGTAAGATTGACTAACATTACGCAAATATATGACTCCACAGATGTGATGGGCTTTAAGGAATCTTAGTACACCTACAATTTCACAATAATCAGTCCAGAAGTTTCCGAAATTATTTGTGTAATAAATTCGTTCACGGACAAGCAGAAACGGGAAATCGACATTTTCGTATTCTAAAACATTGAGAAAACATGCATTAAACATTGGTTAAAATAACTACTTCTCCAGTTCTTGCTCTTTGCTCTGAAAGATTAATAAATACATTGTGTTTACATCCTCAAAACTGCACGGGATAAAAAAATCTCCAGTAATTTATAATGTTAAATTAAGTATCTGCCGTTTTTGTAGTAAGTACCTTATTTTCTTTTTTATTCGTCACTGCTAAAGCTAAAAAATCTCTACTATTTGGCAGTTGACGAATGTCCAACCCTGACTAATAGTCCGTACTCAAACCATAAATCATGTCTAGAACATTATCAACAATAAAATTTCGTATCATATTTACATTAAATTTGGGACACCGTGAATATAAACATCAGTTTTCACGCATTTGAAAGGTAGAGTACTACTTTCATATCACTTCTGGTCACTAGATGGTGTTAATCTTCATATCTCTAAATAAATTAATAATAATAATTATTTTAAAACGATAATTAAATACATAATTCGTCGCCAGAATTTCGATTAATTTTTGCCTTTTCCCATATATCAATTGATTTTATGAATAGGTACTTGCTTTTTAAAAAGTGTTTTAATTGTTGATTATTTATAGGTAATAATTCTGTCACTTTGAAATTAAAATAACCACTAGATATGTGATTTTACATTCTAATCAATTTTGTTGCAATAACTCCAACAACTATAATTTATGAAATTCTTATTACAGATAGTACCAAAATTTGCAAGAACATATATTTTGAAATACTACATTGTTTCAAAATTTTAATAAACACAAATTTAATCAACCAATTATCATACTAGTTAATTCTGTTAAAAAGCATAATTGAGTAATAAACATTTTAATAATTTAAAATTTTTTGAATTTATTTGTTCATCCATGTATCACTAATGAATGCAAAACCAACAAGTCTACGTTTTAAAATTAAAACCCCTCCACACTTTTTTAATATAAAAAGAATCTTCACCACCCAGAAAGCATCATTTTGTGTTGGTTTCCATCGCTTACCATCATGAAATCCTTTTCGGTAAGTACTTTTTTAATTGTTTTTATTAGGTACATTATGCTTAAAAATCATTCTTGCAACAGGTAGCCGTCTTCTTGTTGGCAGTTGCTTGTCTTTACCAAGGCAGCAAGGCCGACTCAGCCGAAGCCAAGACCGTTGAGAAGCGTGGAGTCATTACTGGTCTCTACAAATCCATTGGCAGCTACGGCTACGGAGGCGGCTATGGATCAGGATCCAGCGGAATTGGACTCGGATCGGGTGGACTCGGAGGCGGCGCTGGGATTGGACTTGGCGGCGGTATTGGAGCTGGAGGCGCCGGAATTGGAATCGGAGGCGGCGGAATTGGTGGTGGATTTGGCGGAGCGGGAGGAGCTGGCGGTGCTGGTGGTGGCGCCACCGTTTCCACTGTCACCCAGACAGTACCAGTACCTGTAGCTCAGCCATACCCCGTTACCGTCACTAGACCAGTACCAGTTCCAGTACCACAGCCCTACGCCGTGGCTGTACCTCGCGCAGTGCCAGTACCAGTGCCAGTCCCCAACCCAGTCGTCGTCCCTAGACCAGTACCATACACAGTGACTCGCCAAGTACCAGTACCAGTCACCGTACCCATTCAAGTCCCAGTACCACAGCCCGTCGGAGTACCAGTTCCCCAACCTTACCCAGTCACCATCCCACAGCCCGTGCCAGTCAGAGTACCACAAACCCTCGTCGTCCCAGTGCCTCAGCCTGTTGTAGTTGGAGGAGCCGGCGGTGGATTGGGCGGCTTTGGAGGCATCGGGGGCGGCATCGGCGGCATCGGAGCCGGCATCGGCGGCATCGGAGCCGGCATTGGCGGCATCGGTGGTGGTTTCGGCGGCATCGGCGGCATTGGCGGTGGATTCGGAGGACTGGGTGGAGGTTATGGGCATGGAGCCAGCATATATGGTCACAAATATTAGTTAGTTCCGAAATCTTACAACCAGTTTAAATGCGATGGATATTTCAATAAATCAATATTATTATAATCTTTGTATTATTTAAATCAGAGTACTGAAAAAACCGATTATGCTAAGCCTAGATCCGCTAATAATTCTTCCACAGCATTGCATAATTTATTCCAAGACGGTGAGCCACATTCCGCATATGTAAACAGACGTTCCGCTAAGTCGCCTAAGCGTAAGATAATAATTAAGCACTTTTTAGAGAAGGGAAATGGCCCACAAAAATTAAACTAAAACTACAGTAAATGGAAAAATAATCATATTTACTATGAAGCCTTTCGACTCAACACGTTAATTAAAAAATAGTTTTCTGGAAAAACATCCGTAAATGTCTCCGAGTATTAAATGAGATCGAAAAACTTCGCACCACATTTAAAAAATAAATCCAAGTAAATAAACAGCCTGTCATTTTACTTTCAGATTTCTTAACAGTCTATGCATTTATTTTCATATTAGCTCTAAATAATTCATATTCGAATTACAAACAGCATTGTCTCCGTTTTTAAATAATTACATAATAATGCTTCAGTAACGAGATGATAGTAAATAGTATATTATGTAACACGGAATGTAAGTGCTACTTTTGTGGTCGAGAAATGAAATTTGGGAAATCGAGGGCCGCAGGGCCCGAGATTTTCTAAACATTTCGAGACCACAGAATACACTAACATTCCACGGTGCATACAGAATTTTTCGCCATATCTGAAGCAGGTAATTTTAAATAATATTTGACAAATCCTTCAAGAATAATTGCGCGATTGAACGAAAATAAGATTAAAATCAACAGAAATTTTGAAAATTTTCCATATTGTGCACCATACCATCGTCGACAATGGATATGGAAATAGCGGCGAATCTTGTTTGTACTTCGGTTATTCCGGAGAAATCAAAAAAGCAGGATATAATGGCTTACAAGACATTCAAGGAATAGTGTAACAACGGGGACATTTCAAGTACCGAAACAGATCTCCTGGCGTATTTTCTGCATTTAACAAAAAAAAATATCAGTGCCCAGCAAGTCTATGGTGCGAATATTCCATGCTACGATCAACTACCTTATTTGCTTAAATAAAGATATCGATATTTCTAATTATCCAAAATTAAAAGCATTCATAAAAAGTAAAAATACAGGATATCGTCCAAAGAAAAGTGAGGTGTTTACCAAAGCAGAAATTGTGGCATTCTTGACTGAAGTATCTGACCATACTTACCTGATGAAAAAGGTAGCTAATTAGAAACAATACGCTTTTGGTAGCTAATTAGAAACAATACGCTTTTTCTCGTATAATTATTTCTTTATTTTTGAATGTGGTCGCAATAGTGGGAATAGCGGCTGCATGCCGTAAATATGAATTGTGCAAAATGACGATAGATAATGTTAAAGACCAAAAAAACTTCTTACTTGTGAAAATACCGTATTCAAAAAACGAAGCTTTACAATTGTTAACAATGGCAATGAAAATTTCAGTTATCTAGATTTATTGAGAAAAAACATTAATCTTTCACCAAAAAACTGTGCAATTACAAGATTCTTTCTGCGATATCAAAATGGAAAATGTGTAAATCAACCTGTTGGTTAGAACATTTTTGCAATAATTCCTTCGGAGATAGCAAAATATATAGAACCTCAGCTACTCCTCTGGCTGACACAGGAGTGAACGTTCTTGAGTTACAAAGACACGGAGGGTGGCAGTCCACATCAGTTGCCGAATCATATGTAGCAGAATCCTTGGTGAATAAGATGGACATAGCCAGTAAAATTTTATACCACAAAACTCAAGACGTCAGTTTAGCTCATATATACATCAGAAAATTTTCCTAACGACATTGTGGAAAAAGAATTGGAAATAACAGGCATCAAGGATCTGAATAATAAAAACATTCCTTCAGTTTTAAATGTTAACCACATGTGGAATTGTACGTTCCATATTCCCATAAATAAAATGCTGTAAAATTTCAAAATTTTTATTGCTAGGTCTTCAAACCTTATTCACTTACAGTCCATTACTTACAAGCTTGTGGGCGTGTAAGTAATATTACAGCCCCGATGTAACCATAGAAACGGCACATTATTTGTAAACCCGACTTACTGTTTTTAAATTTCGGTTTAAAAAGGCCACTTACGTGAAAGGTATGGCGAAAAAATCATCAACACATTTGCCAATATAACATATTTCTTTATCCTATTTCCAGCCTGCCAGATTTTACGTCAGTTGCAGCAAATTTAGAAACGTTTTTTAAAATATAGGAAATTAATTCATCACAAAATAGTCGTCCTGATCTTCTACACAGATTATGTTTTCTTTGGTACCAAGACGACAGTCTCGTTCGTAAGATTTTATAGGAGGCTTAGCAAAACCAGGTTACAAACGGAAAACCGTTTAATAAGACTCTTCACTAGAATTCGTATTTTTCTTCTCGAAAATATTGTTACTTCTACACAGTGTTATACGAATTTAAAAACTGTGACGTGTTCGTATGAGTGATGTCGAATACAAAATCTTCCACACCTGATACAAGTTGAAGCACTCAACCGACGCAGTCTGTAACTATGGCTTTCTGCTATATCAAAGTACAACTAAATTAATACGGGATATATTTTTATAAACGATTATAGGGTCAAAGTAGGTCACGAAAACGTGCCGTCTCTCAGTTTTAAACTTTACTAAATGCCTAAGGACGCCCGACCAACACCACACGCATCTATGTAACTGGTTGCCTAAATACTTCATTTCTGATTAAAAAATAAAACTAATTCCTTATAATACAAAGAAACAAATTTAATGCGGTTAAACATCACAGTACAGGTTGAAAATATTAACCATTTTGTTCAAGGCACATGTTCACTCTCTTTTTAATTTCAAAAATGTTCTGTAATCCTTTCGTCAATACCCATTGTTCAATTTCATGTTGCAATAGGAGCTTCTGACTGTTGAGGAAATTTTGTCAAAGATGTTTGCGGATTCTGCTCAAGTCGTCTCAAATCGTCAACAATTTCCTATGATACTGAAAGTCTTCCAGGAGATTTCTTGAAATCACGGTATTTGACCAGTGTCTTGTTCCACAGAATAAACCATTTTCACGGTCTTAGTTTCCTAGCACAAAGACTATATTTTCGTACGCAAGCCCCCAAGAGTTATGAAAACGATTATTTTCTTGTTTTGAGCTTGGATCAAGGAGTATAACACGCGATAATAATTTACACGCGAAAAAAGTTAAATCAATAAAAACGATGACTTTAAATGACAGGTTGCAAATGATATTAATGACAAATGATGACTGTCATAATGAGGCATAATTTCAGTGAAGCGGGATTTTTGAAATCCATAGCCAACTACTCCTTTAGAATCACTTGTAAAAACCCTGTATAAATACATATAAAGAAAGGAAAATTGGAGAATACCAAAAAATGTTCATAACTATATTCCAAAAGACAAGAAAAATTTAGCCCGACTGACAAGTTTGGTGAAAATAAAATAGATAGAAATCTAATTAATCCTTGTAATACCGAAGAAAAAAAAAAAAACTGAGAAGAAAAGTGAAAAATGACAACATATATCTACGTTGAAAAGTCAATAAAATTTCAAATACATTTTTTGGAAGACAATTGGTATTGTAAAAATAATCATCTACACTTTTAAATTATTATTTAGAATTTTCTAAATACTTACTTGTATTGTCACAGTGACCGGCAGAAAAATCCGAGCACCCTGAAATAATTGCACTGTTTGTTACTTTCTTAAATTAAATTAAATTGTATATTTATTTGTCTCTTTTTTTAGCTAATTTGCATATCCTGTGTCAACAAAGAATGGTTCTTTAATAAAATAACAATCAATAGTCAAATTAATTTTTTTTGGAGTAGTTTTGACAAATATTTCTGTTACGAAAAACGTAAAACGTAGTTTCAACCGTACTCTGCTCTTAGAGAGTCTACATTTTCAAAACTATGTTATTTTTGACTAAAAGAAAAAGAGAAAAGTTTTTTTTGTTCAAAGCTACAGCTTAGTAAAAAGATTTATACTTACAACTAAATCGGTTAAGATGTTTTTCATTCCCAGAGCTATCGTGCATTTTTTGTTTGTTCTAATTTCATTAATAAGTTCAGATTTAAAAGGAAAAACATTTATTACTAATTCAAATTAAATTAACATTATTTCCAAATTTAACTAGTATTCAAAATGAAGCTCTTTTATTTATTACTGCTAATAGAGACAATTAATTAAGAAATTAATTAACCCATAATTAATATTCACTGATTTTGCCTTATCAAAACTTAATGATTTAAAAAAGGAAAAAAACAAATTATGAACTATTTTTAGTTGTGTTACGTGTTGAAGAAATAAGTAAAAATATAAACATTTTTATTCTCATTTAATATCAAACATTAAAAATCTGTACTATCAAAAATATATCACACTACAATTATTCAATAAATGCATTCCCATTAAGTTTTATTTCCCTACATTATAAAACTGTTGTTGTTGAAAGCCACAAATGATTTTCTTTCATAATTGTTTTAATTCGAGAAATATTTTGGAAACTCATTCGTTTATGTCATTTGCTACTAGTTTTACAAGCTAAGATTATGAAAACTTATAAAAAAATTGAAAAATGAAAACACTAACAGACACGTTAATTAAGAGAATAAGTAAATGCTTTTTACTTCCCGAGCGTAAGCAAAGGAAGTATTGTAATCGAGTCCGTCGGCCGACTCTCTACTTTTACGTTTTCTCGATCTTTCATGACCCCTAGAAGACGAAGAAATAGGTCTCCCATTTCCGTCTGTCTGTCCGTCTGTCCGTCCGTCTGTCCGTCTGTCCGTCTGTTGTCCCGGATTTTATTAGACAGATAATCTCCGAAAGTACTCGACCGATTGTTGTGAAATTTTGTACTTATATTAAGAATATCATGTAGATGGTAAAACGCTAACCAAAATTTGTCTAATCATCCCCACCACTAATGCGATGACGTCACTTCAAAATTGTACATAGTAAATGGGTTTTCAATTGTATAAAATAACATAGTCCTACACATGTAGTTTACAACTCTGAATCGACTTTTCACCCGAAACGTCCAGATTTTTGGAAAAAAAATCAAAATTATAAAACAACATTTTGAAATTTAATTTTTAATCTGCTAACCAGAATGCTTTGAAATGTTGCAGATGTTTTAAGGCTATAAAGAGCATCATAAATCTTTAGTCAAAAAATATTTGCTTATCCCCTCCAAAAACTTGATGACGTAAGCTCAAAAGTTTGTGGAATAAATCATATCTAAAATGTACAAAATATGATGAGTCTGTACTTGTGATCTATCACTCCATTCATATTTTTTGGATTTGCATATACAGGGTGACTCAAAAAAATTAATGAATGCGTAAATATATTTTATTGATTTAATCAGGAACTACAAAACCGAATGCTCTGAAATCTTGCAGATGTTTTAAGGTCATAAAGAGCATAATAAATGTTTAGTCAAAATATATTTGCTTATCCCCTCCAAAAACTTGATGACATCAGCTCAAAAGTTTGTGGAATAAATCATATCTAAAATGTACAAAATATGATGAGCCTGTACTTGTGATCTATCACTCCATTCATATTTTTTGGATTTGCATATACAGGGTGACTCAAAAAAATTAATGAATGCGTAAATATATTTTATTGATTTAATCAGGAACTACAAAACCGAATGCTCTGAAATCTTGCAGATGTTTTAAGATCATAAAGAGCATAATAAATGTTTAGTCAAAATATATTTGCTTATCCCCTCCAAAAACTTGATGACGTCAGCTCGAAAGTTTGCCGAATAAATCATATCTAAAATGTAGAAAATATGTTGGGCCTGTACTTGTCATTTATCACTCCATTCATATTTTTTGGATTTGCATATACAGAGTGACTCAAAAAAATTAATGAATGCGTAAATATATTTTATTGATTTAATCAGGAACTACAAAACGGAATGCTCTGACATCTTGCAGATGTTTTAAGGTTATAAAGAGCATAATAAATGTTTAGTCAAAATATATTTGCTTATCCCCTCCAAAAACTTGATGACGTCAACTCAAAAATTTGCCGAATAAATCGTATCTAAAATGTACAAAATATGATGAGTCTGTACTTGTGATCTATCACTCCATTCATATTTTTTGGATCTGAATGTACAGGGTGACTCAAAAAAATTAATGAATGCGTAAATTTATTTTATTGATTTACTCAGGAACTACAAAACCGAATTCTTTGAAATCCACTGCGAAAAAAAAACATAATAGGCATACAGTCGTCACGTTTCCGACAGCGAGGGAAGTGCTGTCTAAACTCTGTAGACCAATTTTTTTTCGAATATTATTATACAATCAAAAACGGTATATGATACAATATTTGAAAAAGTTGTACTATTTTGTGGCTAACGAAACACTTTTTTTAATATTTTTTATTTTTTAAATATATTTGTTGTTAACTTTATATTTAGTGACAAAGAATTGAGCCATACCGACATTTGAAATGTACGTCGTGAACATCCAAATACATTACAAAGTTCAGCACATATTAATTTTTTCTAAATTTGAAAATATTGATTGTTTAGTTTAGCTTATTTCTTTCAGGTGTAAAAATCCACATAAAGTAAGTTATACCAAACACAAGATCTATTAAAATTGCAGTTTAACTATCCTTATCATTTAAACAAACAACAAAGTATGAAGAAAATTATCGTGATATGCTTGATTTATACCTACGTATAACGTGGAAGCGGTGATGACGTTATTACAGTTGTTCCAGAAATCAAAAAGAAATTATAAAGAATAATCGAAAAAATGAAACATTCCTGACATTTTTACTTCCCGAGCGTAAGCGAAGTCCGTCGGCCGACTCTCTACTTTTACATTTTCTCGATCTTTCATGACCCCTAGACGACGAAGAAATAGGTCTCCCGTTCCGTCCGTTTGTCCGTCTGTCCGTCTGTCTGCCGTCCCGGATTTTTATTAGACACATAATCTCCGAAAGTACTGGACCGATTGTTGCGAAATTTTGTACTTATGTTAGGAATATCATGTAGATGATAAAACGCTAACCAAAATTTGTCTAATCATCCCCACCACTGATGCGATGACGTCACTTCAAAATTGTACATATCAAATAGGTTTTAAATTTTATAAAATAACATAGTCCTACACATGTAGTTTATGACTCCGAATTGAGTTTTTACTCGAAACGTCCAGATTTTTTGAAAAAAAATCAAAATTATAAAACAACATTTTCCAATTTAATTTTGAATCTGCTAAATCGAATTCTTTGAAATCTTGCAGATGTTTTAAGGTTATAAAGTGCATAATAAATTTTTAGTCAAAATATGTTTGCTTATCCCCTCCAAAAAATTGATGACGTCAAGTCAAAAGATTGCCGAATAAATTATATCTAAAATGTACAAAATATGATGAGTCTGTACTTGTAATTTATCATTCCATTCACATTTTTTGGATTTGCATATACAGGGTGAGTCAAAAAAAATATCATTGCATATCAGGAGCGAGGGAAGTTCTGTCGAAACAACTTTAGACCAATTTTTTGTTGTTAATTAAGTGATTTTAAAAATAAAATAACTGTGACTGAAGTACGTACAAGAAATACAACAGCTCAAAGTATCAGCTAAAATTGGTTCAATATTTTGCGAATATAAATAAACCATTTCCGCAACAATCAATAAATTAAATTCCTCCATACATTTTAGATTTTCTTTTTTAGTCACTGTAAAACAAAAAACACAAAATACTTTTCAGAGTACCCGGCATGTGTCAAGTTAATAGAGAATACGTGAATAATTGAAGCGCATGTAATATAATACTTTTTGAAAGAAACGGCCACACAGATATACTTAGCCTTTTATCAAGTTTCCAGAGTAACCACTTCCATAGTTTCGGAGATTATATGTACAATAAAATTAGTGACAAAGAGAAGGGAATACAAAATCTGCACAAGACATCATTAAAACAAAATAATTTAATAAAAAAACTTCTGTTTTTGGTAACTTAATGCAATTACACAACAAAATATATAAAACAACTCTGAAAATTCACCCTTCTTGCCGTTTGAGACAGCACAATGAAAAAACAAAATACCGATTCATCATCCTGTAATTGAATGTTTATTGTCAAGATTACGTTAACCAAATTCTCAATTTTCTTCGTAGATAAAAATGTAATTATGTACGTAAAAATCTCTTCACAATCACATTTTCTCCCATCTAAACCTTTTATGGCCATTTTTGTTGTGTCTGTGAAGTTGGAGCTTTTTTTTGCTTAAAATTTTTGCGCGAACTTATGAAAAATCTCTATTTTCTTTGTGGTGTGTTAGATACAATAGTAGAGCATGTCCAGTTCACCTGATTATTAAGTCGAATAGCGCACAAAAGATGACATTTTGTTATTAAGTATAATTATATAATGTAATTAACATTTTTGTTAAATGAATCATGTGTTCAAAATACTGTACTATTTTTATTATCAACTCTCAAAGTATGCACTAGATATTTATTAGTTTTAGTAAAAATTACGAGTATGTTACGTAAACTCATACCAATATATTTTCTAAACGAGTACGTTGATATTTTTTACTATTCAAAAACAAACAAATCCTCATGTTGTCGACTTTTGAATTGTTATCTAAGAATACACAAAAAGAGGTTATAGGAATGATTTGTTATTGAGTAACAAGGCTTCCCTCGCCAGTATTACTAAAAAAAAAGCAATTGACATAATGTGGGCTCAATAGAAAAGATCGACCTAAAATTGTAACACTTCCGCGAATAATAATTAACAATCTGACAAACAGTGCTTATCACTTTTTGCATGCATTAATTAAAAAATTAAATGCTTGCTCCAATAAACAGTTTTGGAAAAACCCACATTCAAATGTTTAATTGTTCATAATCTAAATTTCTTATGAGATGTAAGTAAAATGTGCTGCACGTGGATAAACAAGTAATTGGCGGTACAATTAATTATGGCTGAAATAATTACGTTAAACCGTCTGTTTTTTTTTTAACAATCAGCAAAATTGTACTGGCGTTCATTACCTTGGTCAACCAAAATTAACGTTGTGCCACATAATTACAGAAAATTAATCCAAACAACGATTAATTATGCGTTATAACAAGATCATTTTTACGCGTCTCATCGTTGTCCTATTTTCTCAGTTCTGGTGAATCTGTTATTAAGACAAATTTAATATTATGCCCCTTAATAAAATTACAGTAATAACCAAGCCTGAAATTAAACGTAGTAAGTTATCATGTCCGAACGATTCAATCTACTAACACTTCGTATGTTCGTGAATGTATAGAGTAGATTCCCCCAGTGAAAGTAATTTTGGCAAATGGATGGCATCGCCATAGGCCCTCTCTACCACAAGAGCTATAAAAAGACTGCATCGAAAGGGTAAGGCATCACTTTTCACTTGCTTCTTGAACACAACTAAACATACAATGAAGCACATTATTGTAAGTAAAACAATTAAAAATGAATTAACGAACACAATGACATTGAATTTATTCTTCAGGTGGCATCACTGTTATTAGCAGTCGCTTGCATTGTTCAAGGAGGCGAGGCTGATAAGAAAACGAATGCAAAAAGAACAATCAGCAGCGGAATTAGTGGTGGGGGATCTGAAAAAACCGTGGGCGCCAGCATTTCCATTGGTGGAGGCCATCAGTCTGGGGGCGGCAATGCCCTTGGAGGAGGTCAGCAATTAGCAAGCAACGGTATTGGAGGCGGTCACCAGTTAGGAGGTAGCAGCATTTCGTATGGAGGAAATCAACAAATTAAAGGTGGTAGCATTTCTCAACTGGGAGGAAGTGATATTTCCATCGGGCATGGGTTACAAGCCGGTGGTAGTTCCCTTGGAGGAAGTCAACAACAATTCAAAGGTGGCAGCATTTCTCAACTGGGAGGTCATCAGTTTAGCAGCAGCATTCAGCTAGAAGGAGGGTTCCAACCCATTATCAGTGGTCACCAATCTGGCGGAAGTGTTGCTTTGGGAGGAGGGTACGGTGGAAGTCAGGACATTGGTAGTCAATATGGTTACGGAGGAGGAATCGGCGGTGGCTCAGGAGGCGGTTTCGAAGGTGGCATCGGAGGCGGCTTCGGAGGCGGCATCGGAGGCGGCATTGGAGGAGGTATTGGAGGAGGCATTGGAGGAGGTATTGGAGGAGGCATTGGAGGAGGCATTGGAGCAGGCATTGGAGGTGGTGCTACCGTCAGCACCGTAACCCGAACCGTTCAAGTTCCCGTACCACAACCTTACCCAGTCACATTCACACGACAAGTGCCTGTACCTGTTGCACAACCTGTAGCTGTCCCAGTACCACGCCCAGTTCAGGTACCCGTACCAGTACCAAGACCTGTCGTTGTGCCAAGGCCTGTACCCGTAACAGTTACACGTCGAGTACCATACCCAGTTCAAGTCCCAGTTCAAGTACCATTTCCACAGCCCGTGGGTGTACCTGTTCCACAACCAGTTCCAGTTACTGTGCCACAACCTGTTCCAGTTCCAGTGCGTCAAACTATTGTGGTTCCTGTACCACAGTATGTCTCAGCCGGGGGTGGTAATGGAGGAGCTGGAGCCGGTCTAGGCGGAGATGGCAGCGGAATTTCCGGCTTAGCTTTTGGCGGTGGAAATGCTTACGGAGGTTCTCTTAGTTTGGGAGGAGGTTCCGGACATGGGTCGATCACCTTACAACCAATTTCGGGTGCACAGTACGGTTCCATAAGTAGTGGAGGAAAATCTATCGACCTGTCTGGAGGACAATTAGGTTCATATGGATCTCTACAATCTAGTGGTGTAGAAGGAAAATCAATTGATCTATCTCGAATTTCGTCAGGAGGTTACGGCAGTTCAGAAGGTTACGGTAATTCATTGCCTTTATCTTCTGGAAGTGGTGGTAGTAAATATATTTCCCTGTATGGAGACGTAAGCTCCTCGTCATCTGGCCTAGAAAATGGTGGCGGCAAATTAATTCAACTCTCGGGCATTTCATCGGGTGGATATGGAGGTTATTCGTCTTTAGGTTTGGAAGGCGCTGGAGGAAAGTCAATTCAGTATTCTAGTCTTTCATCTGGATCATCTGGTTTGGAAAATGGAGGAGGAAAATCATTCCAACTTGGTATTTCATCCGGTGGATACGAAAGTGCGTCCGTAGGTCTGCAAAGTGGCCCAGCTAAATCTATCGATCTGAGCGGAATTTCCTCTGGAGCAAGTTCAAAATACTAAACAACAAAAATACTACCTGCTTGTCATAACGTCATCGTCACCCACTCACAAATTTAAGCTGTGATAACTCATTTTAACTTTGTTAACGCTACCTTCTTTATACTTGTAAAAAATAACACAAATATATTTTATATAAAAATTAAATGGTATTTAATTTAAATTTAATTTTTTTTTATTAATTCACAGAACAAAATTACTGATATGCTTCAATAACCCTGGATCCAGTAAAATTTGAATTTAATTAGAACAATTGTTTCACGATGGAGAGAGTAAAATTACTTTCACAGAAAGAATCATTTAAATTATAAACAACAAAAACTGCGTGTAAACATGAAAGAATAAATAAGTAAGAAGACATTAAATTTACTTTCGTATGAAATCATGCAGTCACATTTCTTTGGGTGAACTCAACAAGTTTGTGAGAACACCGAACTGGACGCTTGTAGAGATTGCAATCATTTTGTCCAGATTAGTCCACAATGAAGAAAATTACCTCAGATACTCTCTAATGATAAATGTACATCGTCCGCGAAAGTCTTCAGTATTACATTTCAACTAAAAATTCAAGGCGATTGATTCACTTTATTTGAAAATAATAAATACATTTTTATAAATAATTATTACTATTTAATATCACACAAAAGGCACACTTTTCAAACCTTAGTCTATCTTAACAATTTAAAATATTTGAAATCTATTATCACACATTGTTAAATTTTCTAAATTACCACACTTTACACTTCGTCCCGCCAGGATTCATTTTACTTCCGGCAGGACATCGGAATGCTTTCGCAAATTCCCGAGAATTTTGTAACGTTCCAATCACTCTTATTTTCTGAGGTGAGTGCACGTCAGTCTCGATGTCCTTCTCTATTTCGTCGAGAGTGATAGTTTGACACCAAATCTGCACGCAAGTTTTAAAACACAAAAACCAGATCATCTAATACTTACACTTCCAAAGGCCACAAAAAATAATTGATCATTTGTAAAATTTTGGAATCCTGGTAGCTTTGGTTCAGAGCCGTGTATTTTCAAATAACGGTGATAGGCCCTATATGCATGATTAACCCCACCGTTATCAGCCAAATTTTCTCCTAACGTTTTCTCTCCTTGTACCTAAAATTGTATCAATTAGTAGACAAAAATTAAAATTCAATCCACAAAAGATTACGTGATTGCTGATGCCTGCGAAAGTATAATTATCATACTGTTTAATAAAACATTTGGTTTTTTCCTCGAATGTTTCTATGGTTGAGTTAGTCCACCATTTTTTATAGTTTCCAAATTTATCGTACTTTCTTCCTAAAAACAAAATTATATTAGTATTTTTTCGTGTTTATTTTCATGTTTTGATTTTTTTAACCCACCGGTATTGTCAAAGCCATGAGTCAGTTCATGTCCGAGAATAGATCCTATAGCACCATAATTCAAAACCCTACAAGATTAAAATTTGATCGTGTCTTAAACAACAGCTTAAACTATACAAAGAAAAATACCTAAATGTGAACTCCCCATACACAGTAAAAAACAAGAAAAGAAAAATAAAAGTATCATTATTATCATTATTTTAAAAATAGCCAAATAATAACCAATGTGATATAGAAAAATTAAAGAATATATAAAGCAAGATATAAAGCAATAATACGTAAAATAAAGTAACACACATTATTATTAGTAAGATCCACAGTATTCTAGCACAAATTGAATTTAAAATAATACGAAAAGAAAACTACAAATAAAAACTCACTCTAATCCCAAGTTATACGCCGGAAATGACAGTATTGCCATTGGAACATCTAAAACAGAAATTGTTACAATGATGATATCAAAAAAACGATTTCCATTTACTAATGCTATTATCTGGAAAGGAATTGTAAGCATTTACATCTGTGGGGTCAGTACTCCAATTCCTTTCATTTATTTTTCTCAGTTCTTCGAGTTTGCTTGGAACAAAAATCTTCACAAAACTCATCATGTTTTCTAAATATGTATCATTATATATGACGATCTGAAAGTTAAATTGCTAGCATAAATTTCTAATAAGCATGACTCATAACTTACACCTTGATAATAGATATCAAGAGCACCTTTGTCAAATAACCATTCAGGATAGCCTATAAAACTAATCATTTCTTTACTTTTTTCCAAAGTTGCTTGCTTCGTATCTCTATCCATCCAAGTTAAAGTGTTGACATGTGCGACAAAAGAATCTTTGATATTCGACAGCATTTCCTCCACCTGACAAAGAAACCATTAACGAATGTTAGAATGACTTGGAACATACCTTAGGCTTTGTTTTGTTGGAAAAAGTTTTATCAGCCAATCCATAACTAACCGCCATTCCCATAAATGTATTCACAAGAATACAACAATCTAACGATCTAAAATTAAAGATTTGATAAGAATAACAATATTAATTGACTAAAGTCATTTTACCTAGATCTTAAGACATTAGAGCCTACATAAAAGGGTGCAGTTTGTTTTAAAATATACTCCGCAATGTCTGAAGAAGTATTAAGTATCATGGCAAACACAGTAACCCACCACATATACAATTCGACATAAACATCCGACGTCGTCATGATATAGCTTATGACTTTTGGTAAGTAATCCTCATCCATTTCAGCTAAATATAAAAGATCTTTATCAAAATCAATTGTTACATTAACACCCTCAAATAAATAAGTTATGTACTTTTCCCATATTTGTGGATAAGTTTTCTTTGTATTGTCATTCAAAATCTCACTAATTTTATTTTGATGTTCTTTAATGTTTTCAAAATGCACTGTTTCATAGATATCAGTGTAGTTATTGATTAGTTCATCCATATGCAGGGTCATATTAATTAACACTTCTGTTGCTTGCTCAAGAACCTCTTCCTTCGGTTCTTCAGAGGTAACATTTTTAAAAAATGTGGTTAACACGAATTTGATAATGTTGGTATTTACTGTTTTTCTAAGTTCTGCATAATCAACTTCATTCTTTTTTCTTTTATCGGTTTTAAAAGGACTGCGATCAATATTACCATTAAAAATGAAAGGAAATTAACTAGACACTTACCTTGGAAGTGGACACGGCGTCACAGGAACTCCAATATACATCACATTTTCTGATCGATTATACATATTGGGCTGTACAAAGAAACCAATCAAAACATCCATGGCAAATGTTTTTTTTATTGTAGCTTCCGACTTTAACCAATCGAACTGAAAATCTTCTAATTCTTGATCTGTTTTTGTAAAAAGACTCGGGATGGTTGGTAAATCTACTTCTTTCAAATATTTATAAACAACCGATAATCCTAAATTATCCACAGATTCTGTAATAATAATACTAGATTGGGAGTTAACAATAGCGCTAGTGCACAACCTGTATCCATGCACGACTTATAAAAATTTCTAGCTTGTTTTACTGAAAATGGTTCATTATTGTCATCATCGTTTTCGGAATCTAAAAAATCTTCTGTAGCGATGAGAACCTCCTCCATAATAGTGGAGAAAGCTGAAAATGACGGAAACCATCCATGATTTGGGTGCTCTTTTGACCAACGCCCACAAGTATACTGGTAGAAATCATCACATGGATCTACACTAAAATCCATAGATAGGCGGAGATTTGCCGCAGAACGAAGACACTCTTCTGAAGTGCATAATCCGTTTTTACGGAACTTTGTGCAATCTAAAAGTTGTAAATATGAGAACTAAATCAGATCATATTAAATATTGACGGGAAAATCTTGATGGAAGTTTGATTACTCTAACGACATCTAATGGAAGCATTCAAATTATTGACGTTTCTGCAAATAATAGTGTAGTAAGTGAATACTTCAGTAAACACAGTAATTTTTCCTGTTATTTCTAACAAACGCTTTCCATAAAATAGAGAGATATTAATCTGTCTGTCACTGAATAACAAAAGTAAAAAGTTCTCGGTAAAATATTGATTAAAATTGATTATTATAACACTCAACTGGGAACGAAAATTTAATTTTTGGAATAATTTGATTTGTTTTGATGAAGTAACTTTCTAAAGATAGTTACAATGCGCTAATTAACCTTTATATTTTTAGTTATAATAATTAATATATTGTATTCACGTTGTCTTCGAAACTTTCATACTTTCAGGGATTCTAAGAACAGACAATGTCAAGGTTAACGATACGTCCAAATTCCATCAAAATTACCCCTTCGACTATTAAAAACCGTTGATTTTTTTACTACTTACACAATACTGCCAAAACAATAACGATGATCAAAAGCAGCAAAACCAGAATGGTTAGTATTGCCGTGAGTCTTTTGTAGAATTTTGTGGTCTTGAAACTGAAATTGCATTTCGAATAATCATACTATAACCAATAAGAAAGTGGTTCTTGCTATGATTTTCGTTGATGAAATTCAAATTTTTTTTATTAAAGATTAATTACAGTGATCTGATTTGATTTGTGGTATCAACCGAATATATGGTCTTAAAAACGATGTTTTCATTGCAGCATAAATTAACAAATATACGATATGCATGTGTATCAGTGCCTCTATAGGATTATCTTTATTTAATAGAAAACTAGCACAAAACAGTTATTTGTGTATCAAGGCCATAAAAGAGAACTCTTTCGGCCGATTTGAAATTTGAGGCCGAGGAGTAAACAAGGCCTACAAATCAGATGAGACCGAAAAAGCTCCTTTTGGCTGAGATACACACAAAAAAATAGTTGGTTATGCAAATGGTTTTAAGGTTAGAAAATCTTTGTTCGTTAGACGAAAAGTTCTGCCCATTTGATAAAAACCAAAGTGCTATTTTGCTTTTCTACTAAGAAAAAAAATTTGTACCATCATGTAACGATATTCAACAAAGGTGGCGCCTTTGGCTTTTCTGTTTAAAATAATGTTGGATATAAATGCAATCGAAGGACGCAAAAATAAGCTTTCAACATTTGAATACAAAAAATTGGGGGCAGTTTATTTCGGCAGAACTTTCCTCACTCCTAAAGTACAAGTCCAACCAATCGCGCTTCTTTGAAAAATTATAAAATTAGATTTTGCCAGTGAGTATAGAGTATAAATATATAGTCACTGATTTTGCGGTGTTTGTTAACCCCTATAATGTAAAATCCGGCAGCATAAATGACACTCCCGCAGCCCCTGCGCCATGGAGGCGCAAACTGCAATGGATTGTGCAAATTGCACAAGTACGAACAATGTAAAATATTTTTACAGCAGATAACTAACTGGAAAAAAGGTCTCCCAGTAATAATAACAAACTTTAACTTCAAGTGTTTGGCGGCAGAACGTCACGTAGAAATTTGTTTTATTATTATTAGTACTATTATTCTTATTAAATAAAGATGAGTGTATTCGCACCTTTTGGAGAAAATGGGGTGATTCGTTCTTAATTTTTTAATTTGATCAATAAAAAAATTGTTATGACGTCATTAATGTAGATAATACACAGCATGAGAGAAAAATATAGAAAATAAACGGCCAGGTTTGGCATCAAAAGACAACAAATCATCAACAATTTGTTTACCTAATTTTCTCAAAATTCTGCTAATTTATTAGTACTACACTATAATTCTAATTACCAAAACGGTGATAGGTACATATATTATCCCCATTAACATATTTAGTCCCATCATCCGAAAATTTTATTAAGAAAATCTTACTAACTACATTCATCATCGCATGATGCGTCTTATTTTTAACAAAAATTTCTCGTCGAAGAAATCTGTATGACAAAAAACCCTGACATACATTGGTCACGCTCCTGTGAACGAAGGAGATACCGATTAAACTCTTAGTCCAGTTGATGATTATGGATATTAGGGGTCTTTTGCTTTCTTTAGTACACTATGTGCGGTTTAAATTTATTATTTTCGACCTATATTAACTTCCACTAAATAATGAAATACAGTGAGAAACCACAGCACTGCAATTATTGAATCCATATATAACCTCAAACTAACGTTACCATAACTGTTTTAACAACGAAGGCTGAATATGACGTAAATTTCCTGCTGTTTCTTAGACCCAGTGCGTAAGCAGTACGAAAAAACAGTATACAAAAATATCCAAAAAACATAGTGGATTGATTTCATAAATTATTATTAAATTAGTTTTTGATTGATCAGTTGTGACCAAATGTAATATAAACAGAAAAAATATTTATAATTGAAATAAAATTTTAATTTTTTGATCTATATTTTAATTCACGACAGTAAGTAGTAGTAACCTACATTAATAAAAGTTGTATTAACAATGTATGGTTTTGTGTTATTTTTAGTTCGAAGGGGATAAGTAAAGTCATGGTATAAATATAAAGATCTAATCAAAATCACTAATTAGTGGTAATTTTCCTCAACGAAAATCCATTACTAAAAAATTCAAACTGTTACCATTACAACAAACTATCTGAATCAAATAATTGTTCTTCATTAATATTAATATAAAAGTAAGGCAACAACCGTAATTTCCGACATTGCAGGAAGTAATATTTTATCAAAAAGCGGTAATCTTTTTACTATATTTAGAAAATGGAACTAATGTATTACATCGTAAAATGGTAGTTTGTAGAACAGTAACAATTCAAATTTTTAAAAAAGTGCATCATAGGTAACTAGTGGTCTATAATTACATCGATTTCATCACAATTTACTTACAACTTAGATCTGGAATTTACCTCAACCAGATAATCATTATTTTGCCTTGACACGGACGGGTATCCTAGAAAAAGCAAAACATGAGCAAAGTGCAGTGCAAATAAACTTTTTGACTTCACATTTGGCGCCCAATTTGAAATTATTTATAATTCGGAACAACTTACTTGTTATAGCAAAAGGTTTGCCATTATCATCCGGTTGATATGCATAGTTATCCATGTCTGTTGTCCACAAAACTACTAAGGGTGGTTTTACTTGCCGCAACAAAGTGTGTCATGTTGTGCGCGAGAACTTTACTAGTAAACTACTCACCAGTTACTGTACCACCAATAGAGCAAATCGATGCTCTCTGAATATCGATTAAAAAACTTTTTAAACAATATAAATTATTTATAAAGTTATTGCTTCCTTTCTGCTACGCGTACACATTTATGCGAACGACAATGTTTTTAATTGCCGGCGTACAGGTGATTACCGTGATACATGACACATCAATCGTAAACTTATCGGCACGCAAATGAAGTTGTACTGTTTCAATGAAAAAAATAAAATCGTTACAAGTAGGCACTTATTTTTTAATTCTAGACAATATAATTACATAACCCAAGCAATTTCGTTGAGAGTGAAGATCTAAAATTAGGAAGGGATACATCATAATTAACTTTATCTATAAATAGTTCTACCTATATTCTCCATTACTAAATCAATACATGTAACTATCCTAACTGAAGGTAAAAAAGCACTCACGCGGTTGAAGAATACAAACAATTTCTGTCAACTTTATTGATCATTTTTTTATCAACCGACATGTATGTAAACAATTTAACCTCGTTACAAGCTATTTTCTTAAATAATTAAACGAAAGTTAAGTGAATTATTCAAAAAGTAGTGCCATCAGACCGGAAGTAGCGTAAAAATATTGAATAAACTGAATATTTTCTATGGAAATACGGACATCTTCTAGATAATCATATTATAAACGCGATATAGCGTGACAGAACTTCCACGATACGGTCACATTCAGTATGCACAATCAGTAGTTTAAACTGGAAAGGATTACCATTAATAAATAACGTGTGACCGATCTAATGCTGTCATAAACATTATCGACATGTCATAAAGTGAAGGTAACTTTTTATTGAATTTAACAATGAAAAGAACTAATAGTTACGAATAAAAATTGCGGTTGTTGCCCTTAATAGGAGAGACCGAAATTTTCCAAAGTGTCATACTTCTAACGATAGACAAGAGAAAAATACTTATAGATGGTAAAACGATAATCAAAGTTTGCAAAGAATATTCAGCTCGAAAAATAAAAAAAAACAACAAAATATTACAATTTAACTTAGAAATTACAAAACCAATTGGTGTGAAATTCTGTAGACGTTTTAGTGTTATCGTGAACTTCACTTTTGAAATTTATAGTGTGGCTTCCTTTATTATTTATGGTTCAAACTGTATCCAAAAATGTCTTTACTATTGCGCATACAAATGTAGGAAAAAATGTATAAATGTAGTACATAGTTTATTCCATTATTTTCCCGAAATTTTTATTTAGCTTACCCTTATTTTTATTTCAATCCATAGAGGTTATCACAAACAAAGAAAATTTTTAGAATGGATGGAATTTATCTAAAAAATAGGACTTGTTTTTGCTTCAGGGACGGAAAATTCAATCTAAAAACTTATAGACCAGTTGTTTAGCATAAAAAGCATGCGCGATATCTGAAAATTTCGCTGTAGAGAAGTTTCGGTCTTCAATGAGTTACGGTACACAGTTTGAACAAGTTGTTCGGGGAAAATTTCGGACATATTGTTGGCCCAAGTGACATTAATAGGATATAAAATTTTATTAGTATAGTGTGCGAAAAATAATACTTACGACGATGTACGAGTATCTTATAAAATAAATTTAATATGTTCTCTCAACAATCATTTTTTTGTAAAAATAATTTACAACTAACTTTAACTGGAAATTCTTGTAAATTCTGACACAAAAATATTAAATATGTTCAAGGCGCATTCACGGTGGTGCTTTTTTTTTCTCATTAGCGTGGACTCGAAAATTTGAAGATGTAAAGTATGCTACGTTGTACCGATAATTTATTTTTATTAACATTTTGAGATGGTAAAAGAAAACCCCCATTTTTTAAAACATAAGTAACTTTTTGGAATCGATTAATTATATAAAATTAATAATATTTTTGTTTATTTTTGAATTTTCTGCCGTTACAAAATTTAAAAATGGATGAAAATTACAACGTCATTTATGTTAATTTACTGGAAGGTTTTTAACAAAATGCAGCTATTATACCTATGGCTACATGAAAATAAACATTCTTTGCGTTAACAGTACCATAGAACCAACTATCGTTTATTCCACCGCTAATTTTATATTAGCAAAGTTTTAACCTAAAAACTAAACTCACCAAAACCATTAATTTCCGCTGTTATATCAACGAGTAATAAATTTCGTAGCCTATACCGAAGGCCAAGATCTCTGTTGGATGTATGATTGTTACTCATACATACGTACCGAAAAAGATTGATATAAAATGAAACACAAACATGTGCTGTGTAACACTGTATTTACTTGTTGTTGACAGTTCGGAGTCTATGTACAAAGTTGTTAAAATCGGAAGCGATACATTGCAGGTAGAAGAGAAAGTTGGGGACGCTTGTTGACAAGGGTTGCGGTTGGTAGGTAAAACCGAAACCCGAACATGGTCCGGCGCCTTGAAAGAACTAACTTTCAACATGACAAAGTATAACAATTGCAAATATGAAATACATAATATGTGTCTACATGACAGGTGCATACATTGACAATGAAATAGAGTACAGAACACATAGAAAAAAGGGGTAAATTTAGACACTGCACATTTGTTTATGTCGGAAGCACACACAGCTTAGTCACTTGCAGGTTAATCACATCATGCGCGGTTCTCACTGTCACTACGCGAATGGGGCCATGTAGACCGGGATGAACAGTAATAACGCGTCCCAGTGGTCCATATAAGCGGGGGTGTGTAGTCTTCCTTAACGACCACCAAATCGTCCACCTTATGCTGTTGCGGCTGGCCTTGGTCCATTTTGGGCGATGATGAAGTTGACCCATATGTTCTGCTGTCCACCGTTTCCAAAATTGCTGCTGAGTGCGACTGAATTGTTGCCACCTGGAGAGCCGGTTCGTTGAGACCGTGGTGACGTTATCCTCTGGAATAACAGTTAGAGGGGTTCCAACGAGGAAGTGACCGGGAATTAAAGGAGTCAGGTCATTTGGATCTTTGGACATGGCGGTTAACGGGTACGAGTTCAAACACGTTTCGACTTGTATTTGCAACGTCTGCATTTCTTGCAAATTAAATAAAAATATACCAGTAACGCGCTTCAACTGACTTTTCGCAGATTTGACCATTGCTTCCCCGATAGTCCCCATATGTGGTGCGGAAGACGGAATGAAATGAAAATTGATGTGGTTAGTTGTCAAATCATTCAGCAAATTTGTATTCGAAACCCGTTTGGCTAAAGTGACATATGCTTGGTAAAGCACGGGATCATCCCACCACAAAGTTTTTTCGTATCGTCTGTCTTCGGGTTGAAATAAAATTTGATGATACATGTTACAAATGTCCGCAGTAAAAGCGACCTCATGCGTCGTAGATCGTATTATTGCATCGGAAATGTCGTTTTGTACTTTTGACCCTGTACTGAGACAAGCATTTATGCTTTTTCCGACTAATGGTTTGACTGACCCATCAAACACTACGCAAATCTTTTCAGTGACCCCGTCAGTTTTGGAAACCGCATGATGAGGCAAAAAATGATGGGGTTTACTTTCGATTTTTTGCTCTGTCAATGAACCTAGTAAACGCATATGACCCAAATTAATGTATTCTTTCATAAAATCGTGATAATTTATTTTTAACATGACATTTTTTGCGAACTTTCGTTCCAATGTGTTGAACCGTTTGAGCGCGATTTCTGTCGGATTCCCCAAGTTTGGTAAAAATTCGTTAAATGTTAATCTGACTTGAAATCGTCCGTTGGATAATTGAGTGGCATTGTTAATAAAATAGTTCTCATGTTGTATTTCAAGAGCTGTGAGCGGCTTATCATCGTTTGAATAACTTTCAAGTTTCCAGAACTTTTCAACCTGGTTTTCTAAATTGACATTATTGACCGCGCAATGTAGATTTTGACGAGTGTTACTGGTGGGGCATCCATGCAATGGCCTTCCTACAATCCAACCTAATAAAGTTTTTTGTAATATTAAGCCATGTCCTATCGTTTGAATTTGACCTACACATAACAGTTTCCAAAATAATCCAGCTCCGATTAACAGATCGATTGGCTGTGACAAATTGAAATTAGGATCGGCAAGTTTTACCGCTTCAGGTATGTCCAGCTCATCTTTAGAAAAGGTACGGACAGGTATGTTCTTCAAAATTTTTGGGATTACCAAACAATTTAAAGCTGTTGTAAATGAGTAATGCAACGACTCGATCTGTACCTGAACCTTTTGTCTAGCGGTCGTATTTGAACATTGAATACCTGCTACGACCACATTTGCATTTTCTGTACTTAAACCCAATTTGTTAGTGGCGGCTTCAGTAATAAAATGCGATTCTGAACCCACGTCTAACAAAGCCCGGAATTTTTGAAATTTGTTTTTACAATCCTTTATTAGAATTATTGCTGTAGACAAAACGGCTTGTGGAAAAAGGGCGGATGAGCAATAAACTCCACTGGTACTAGGCTGGTTTTCGTTTGAATGGGAGGGTTGGTCACTATGTAAAAGTGTATTATGTTTCAATTGGCATAATTTACATGACATAGATTTACAGCTATCGGACGTATGCGATGGTTTGAGACAATTTTGACATAATTTCAACCTATCTACCTGAGACCTTCTTTCCGAAACACTGAGTTTTGAAAAGGTAACACAGTTGTAAATTAAATGAGATTTTTTACAAAAATAACAAGTGGATTGTGTACTATTGCGATTTACTGCCGCTGTAAATGTAGACACCTTTTGTGTTTTAAATGTATTATAAAAAGGTAGCCATTCAGTATAAATTCCGCTAAACGGTTTAATAACATTCGGGAGCAACTGCACCGATGGTGACGGTGTGCTCGTAGGTGCGTTACCTTGCGGTGCAGGTGAAGATGTGTTAACGCGTTTTTGTTCAATAGCATCTTCGACATCTGCACATAAATCGTAATACGCGTTTTCAAAATAAAGTCTTGTGGTAGCTTGTTCTAAATCGGGGGTGGCGTCATCAAGAGCTTCAATCTGAGAATGGATTTTGTCAAACTGAGCCTTAATACGTACAAAATCGCGCAATCTTACTCT